AGTCAGTCAAACAATTCTGTCTGTACAAATGGTTCTTGCATGAGCCCCAACACCCTTGATACAAAGCACAGATCTCTCTTACCAATAAAATAAGACAAACATCTGATTTTATTCTGAATTATAGTTTTTTTCCATGAGAATTTTATTACGTGATTATAGCTTTGATATTGCCACACTGACATTTTCCCTTCCCACAGAGGGTTTAAAATTGAAGTTGCTCTTCAACTGTTGACATTGTATCATAAATGATTATTTACAAATCTAGCTTAAGCCCTGTGTGTTGAGGTGTACTGTCCTGGAAATACAGGTCAGCATACTGCAGGATGTGGTCGACAGCACTGAGCAGAAGCACATCAGTGTTCACATCCAGGTCCAGCTCTGATGAGTAGTTCTTCACTGGGACGATGTAGGAGGTGGACATACCCAACAGAGCTCCAGCTTTATTCATCTACAAACACACACACACAAACACACGTGACCTTCAGATTTTCACGTCATCAGTATTCAGTTCCTCCAGCTGTCCGAGAACAAATGACTATTTCAAACAGCTCGAAGTTACACATGTTTGGAAGTTTAAGCATGTACTTTGTTTTGACCCTCCCACCCCAAACAAACTCTCACTTGTTCATTAATCAGATGATACTTGTGAGTCATGTGACGTCAAAGTAAATGAGCAAAATAATAACCGAAAGCACCAAAGTCAAAAAACAAAACTGTGGTGACACACAAATTTGGGTAAAACTTCCCCGCCTGTAGTCATGGTGGAAGAAATTGGTTGTGTTACAGTTGCTCAAGTTGCTAAGCAAGACATTATAAGAAACAGAAATAGTAATAAGAACAATAAAATATGTGCATTAATTTACAATATATAACTATATATATATAACTATATATATATATATAGAACATTTGTATTTTTAATATTATATTAATAAATATTTAAATAAATAAATATTTGTTTGTGAAGAATGTAAGAATACACTTCCTTCTTTCTTTTACAGACAATTTAGAGGAAATCTTTCCAAGTCTGGATTATATAATTGCAAACTGCGTCTGTTTTTTTTTTTTTAACCTACCGTTTCCCGAATGAGGAGGCTCTTGTAAACCTGGGAGACATCTTTGGCCGTGTCTTTACAGATTTGGTCTATGTGGGTCAGCAGAGCCACCTGGTGAACACCTAATGGATAGAATACAGTGCTGCCATTATGGTTTTAATGGAGTAATCAGAGAAGCAACATTTAATTGTTTCTATAGAAATACATTACTGTCAGTTAAAATTTCAATTGGGCTTTCTGTCAGTTAATCTGTAAAGTTTCAGACAGAAGTTCAGTTTAACATCAGCCTGTGTGTAAAAAAATATATCTTTAAATATATCAACTGTTTCTTACCCAGGTCACTGATGTGCTCTCTGAGCTGCTGGAAAGTGGTGCTGAGGCCTTTGGGGTAGGTCAGGACTTTAGAGGCGTTCAACACAAAGGCCACACAGTGGATCTTGTCTTTGAGGCTTGGCCTCTTCACATAGCCCACAGTCTCAGACCTCACTGGCTGATCTGGGCTAAACTGGGAGAGAAAAATTAAGAGATTAATTTTTCAAAAAACTTTACATGTTTTAGCATGCCAAAATGCATATACTAATCACAAACTACAACTGAGGCTGATAGGAATGTCATTAGTTTCACAGGTATTTAGTCACAAACCAAAGTACTGTATTGTAAATATTTTTAATTTGACCTTATCGTGGTGCTCGATGTCAAGTCAAAGGATCACTAATGTTAATTTTTTGGCAATCCATCTAATACTGGTCAAGTATAGAAATATAGAAATGTCACTAAAAACCACAAATTTTGGGGCGCCCTATAGCTCACCTCATAGGCTTGCTAAGTCCTTGCTGCAGCGACCATGGGTTCGACTCTGTGGCCCTTGACACTGCATATCATCCCCTCTCTCCCCCCTTTCCTGTCACTCTTCAGCTGTCACTATCAATTAAAGGAGCAATTTGAACTAGCAATTTGGATGAATTTTATTTCTCTGCATTATGTTTTTATTTTTTAACAATATACATACTTAAAGGGCTTCTTTTTTGACAAACTCTGTGTTTTCTTCTCTCTGATGCTTCATCTATTAGCTCTTTGGTTGTTACAACTGCGTCCTTTTTTAAAGGTTGTTCTGTGTTTCTCTCCAGCAAGTGAAATCCCACGGGACTTCA